GAGAAGGAGTTGGAACTTTCTGTGTTGAAGTAGGGGGGGGGGCTATGCCAGTACAGGTAGTCCTTGACTTATACCATAATAAGAGCCTGCCCATCACAATCAAAAGTCGCAGAGGTTGTAAATTGGATCATCCACCTGACTGACCCAATTTTATGACTTTTTCTGCAGTGGTCGTTAAGCAAATTCTGTCATCATAAAGTGACGCCCATGGTTATTAAGTGGACACCATGATCATTAAGCAAACTGGTGGTTCTCTTGGGGCTGGTTTTGTTGAACACTGGAAATAAATACCAGTTTTTGGCAAACCCGTGATGAAACACAGTCACCTGACCATGGGACACTGCAAACGGCCATAAATTCGGGACCTGACATGCAATCACTTGACTGCAGGGGTGGGGCGGACATTGGATCTTCAGAACTGAGTCCTTAGTACCTCAGGGAGAGCCGTCATAAGTTGAGGACTACCTTAATAGCCATGGTCCTAGAACAGCAGTACAGAAATTGTAGGCAGTAATGAGGCAGTTAAACATTCCTCTTCCTTTTAGGAAAAGGTATGGATCAGGTACTTTAAATGGGGAGGAGCTATTGAAGGATAGATAGGGGGTGGATGGCAAAACTAGAGGCATCAAGAGACTTGCTATGAGAAGAAGGAACTGCCAAGAATTCTCCAGCTAAGGAAGATTTGAAGTAGTAGAAGCATAATAGGAAGAAAGTGTATAAATACCTCAAAATCTTGTGCATTAGGGTACTGTTAACTCTTAATCAAGTGTTCACAACAGGTGTGATTTCTCCCATTTCTGGTTAAAGGAAAAGAGATCCTATTGAGCTGAAACATATTTAATTCAACCCCACCCTCTCTTGCTATCCTTTGCCCTTCTGAACTCTGTCCAGTCAGGGCTGTGTTTACTCAGTGTAGGCTGCTTCTGCATTGCCAGAGCTTGTCTGGCATTTCTGCTGCCTGAAACCCTATAACTTTAATAAGATATAATGTGTGGCATGTATCTGCCGTTGCTCGGCAACTCTTCAATAATGCCCCAAACAAAGCTCTTGCCATGTGCAAGCAACTTTAATTCCTACTGTAGGATAATTCTGTTTCCGAGGCTGCTATTTCCTCCATAGTTTACAGTCCTGTCGTGTTAGCTTGTTCTTTTACCCGTAGCAGTAGCAGGGTAGGCTGTGCATAAGTGACCCTTTTTCTCAATCATATTGGAATCTAGGAACTGATGGATTATTTCTTGCCCCTTTGAGTGTGTTTTTATAATGTTACATGGCCAAATGTGTACTTTTCATCAAACAACGGACAAATGATCATTTGCATAAATCCCTCTTGAAATGCTGTAGTAACTCCTGCTCTGTTGCATAGGATTCTCACGTAACACTGGTTTTAACATGCATGTCAGGAAACAGACATGAAACAATCATGTTCTTAAATGTGATGAAAAGCTCAGATTCTCAAGTTCAAAATGAAAATTTTGGATGAGAAGCGAAGTGTTCTTTTCTTCTTCTTCAAGAAAAAAATAGTCCAATTGCCTTTTGAAGAAAAACACGCCTTTGAGACAACTATGACCTGGATAACTGAGATATTTACAGATATTGCACAGATATTTACAATATTGCATGTTGTTAACATTTTCCAGCAAGGGTATTTGTTCTGTAACTTCGGACTGAGAGTGCTAATGCCATATCAAATAAATGAAATAAATAAAATAAGAGCAATGCTTTCTGCTTCTTTTGGACTCTGATTTTATCCCTTCAGCAATGATAGCAAGATTTTATGTATATACATGCATGATTATACTTGTTTGGCAATGACAAAACAGCTAGAAAACCTCTTTATTTTAGAAGCAGTTCTCTTATTTTCAGTCACGATGCCCTCTGATCCTTCTGCTTCTTGATTTGATTCCTCTTGAGTTTTGGACATTATAAGTAAAAGCAAACACCTCTTTCCCCTGGAAATATTTAGTGAAATCTGACATGCCTGATAATTATTTCTCCAGTTCTCTTATAGTGCTTTGTTTTGACAGTCATAATTGAGAGTTAAATTAGCATCCCTGAAGTATCATGCTGTCAGGCAGACGTGAATCAATCGGAAGGGATATGTTGAAAGTTGCCAGGCAACTCCACATACTTAAACAGGTCCAGGGAACTCAAAACAATAAAATAGAACCTGTTTTTTGTGTGGATTTGCAAGTGGGTTTTGCCTGTTCTTCAGTGTTCAGAGAAAGGCATCTTGGTTGTTGAATTTGTTCAGGCTTGATTGACCTTTTCACATGTCTGTTGCTTGGAATTGTAGAAAAATATACTGTTCCCCATTCCTTAGTTAATAACAATGCACTCAAAGGCCATCTTGGAAATGGTTGTGTCACATATGTTCCAATAGAATTATTCCAAATGGATTATCATATTCTTACTCTGTGAAGGTGCTCCTAGTGCCGTTGTTAATTTATTCCACAATTTAGGATGCTGTAACTATGTGCTAAATTTCCTTTTCTAGTGAGTAGCTTGATTAGAGGAATTTGCCATTGTAAACAGTACATATCCATATCAGCTTTATTTTGCTGTTCATTTTCAATACATTCATCAAGCTTCATTGTCCAAACTAGCCTATTTAATCCTATAAAGATGGCACATCTGATTTGCTGTCTGTAATACATCTGTGTCTTAAGAGGAATGTGTTGCCAGCACCTGCATACTAATGGAATAAGCTCTTTCCCCTCCAACCTGAAGTAGTAAGTCAGCAGGCTGTAACTCTGACTATAATTAATCCATCATATATCCTATTCATACTCATACTTAATTGTGAATTCCACACTAAATACCCCATTCTCTCCCCCCACCCCCTGTTTCTATATATTGGGTACTGTACTAGTAGTACAGATGCAAAGGGGGGGGGGAGGATGAAGGGAAGAAGTTGCAGCTGTCTCTAGTTCTGCTTGTTGGAGTTTTTGAAGGTAAACATGTTTTCTTCTGCTTGCAGCCTAGCAACTCCATTGGGTAAATGGAGATTGTAGCGTAAGCTATTCTTATAGCTTGAGAATCTTTTGCATGGAAGCAGAGAATGCCTTTTCTGCTTGCCTGAGGCTCTGCCTTTCCAACTCATACTAGGATCAGTTGTCCTGTATCAGGAATGGGCTAAGGTGAACACTACTTCAGCGTAAGGAAAACGGCTATAATGATATTTCTGATTGTCTTCCCTAACTTTTGTACAAATCTCTGAGTGGACACTGCAATCTTCCCTTCCTCTTTTGATGGGGTGATGAAGCACATGAGATCAGAACCCCAGGTGGTGATTTGTACCCTTTTAGAACTGCCCCATTAGAGTTTCCAGGGTGCAACTATAAATAAACGTTCCAAATAATTTCAAGTCAAAATTGTTGAGGGCATAATTCAATCATTGTTGACTCTACCGCTTTTTTTTTTTTGGGATATAAACACACTGAAAATTTCTGCGTGATGAAAATTATCTTGATTTTAAATTCCTTCCAGTATTGTTGTAGTCGTGGAACAATTTTGAAAGAGCTACTTGGGTTTTTTCCCCTCCCCTTGTTTGCAGTTGCTTCTTTCTCGCTCTGCTTTTCTGTAACCTTGCTTCATCGCAGCTGCCTTTCTCTGATAGCAGAATGATAGATGTGCTTTGCTCCAGAGGGCAGAAGGCCACCAGCTCGGAAGGACGGCGTATGCCGCTGATCAGCCTATTCAGTGGATGCACTGAGCCATGGCACTATGAGGATTTCATCAGCCTTTAATGCATTAACCTTTTATTAGGCACAACAACCTTTGCCTGTGCCTTGCTCTCTGCCTAGACTATTCATCTCATTGCCTGGGTATGCCATGTGCCTTGACATCATGAAGAATCCCCTTTTATCTCTACTTGGAGAACACTGATATATTTGTGCAATTTTAGTGCTGGTGAATCCCCTATCTCCTCTTCTGTAGAGATCAGTGCAAAGTTCACACAAGAGACTGGCTCGGTTATTTTGTGTTAAAGAAATCTGCTAACCTCCTTCTCTTTTTCCCAGTCCCCTGGGGGTGTGTGTGCATTTTGAGTATATAGCATACCAAAAAGATTCTATACTGTAACATAATTGAGAAAGTAACTGATGCCCTGCCAGATGGACAAGAATAGCATATTCTAATATGGAGAATGACCTG